TTCCAGCTGGCAATAGCATCATGTCCAGGTTCCTGTCTGCACGTTTACTCCCTCCAACCCCCACCCTGCTGGCCTCTGGATAAACAGCAGCACACCAAGGACAAAACCCACAGAAGGCCACCGCGGCAAAACGTCGAGGACAATCCCAGTCCCCGGGGGGACATAAAACCCAAAGCACAGCTGGCCTCCACCCCCCAGTCACATACCAGTCCGTGCCGCAACGCCGCAAATTAGACCTTGGCAAAAGGAAAAAGCCCCCCCAGATCCTCAGTGATTACAGATCTCACCAGCTCACGAGAACCTTGCCATGCATCGTCAGTCCAGCGTGACTTTCTCACATGGAGGGAGGGCAGTAGCAGGCTAGGAGGTTTAAGGTACAATTTTGGGTGGCTTTTCATGGGGGTGGGGGGTATATAAAAAAATATTACAAAAGAAATTGGGGGGGGGGGGGGAAACAATTAGCAGAGCAGTTTACACAATCGTCATGCGAGACACCACCAGCACACGGTGCCCTGACACACCCTGCTGGGGGTGTGAATAAACAGGCGAGGTGCAGGACGGCTTCATCACGCACAGAAATTTCCTAGTAAAGGGGTTTCACTCCTGTGCACATCAGACGTGGGAGAAAATGGAATCGCCATAATGATTGCGATGGATGGATGGATGAAGGGCAGATTACCACACCACGGACCTATACGCTGATGGACGCTCCCGCTAGAGACAGGCCTGCCGGCTGAATATAAGCCGCCCTGGGCTTACAGTGAGGCAGCGTTCAGGCAGCCATTCCTGTCAATCAGCCTCCAAACAACCAGAAATGAAACAGAACGACGTGTATGGGCTGATATTTGTGCCACTAGAAACTGAATATGAATTTTGTATATTTGAATCTGCAGTTATCCGCATTACAAAACTGAATCTGAATTTAATAGTTTGAATCTGAATTCCAGTAACTAGAAATAGCATTTATCCTACCTCGAAAAATTCAGTTTGCAAATTAAATTTTTATTATGTATATGATCCCGCATTTGCACTTGCGACACCCCGGCACACGCCTCCTCTTTACCCCGACCTGCAGAACTGCTGTAAACGTGGAAATGAGTTGCGTTGTGAATCTGCGGTCGATTACGTTTTCTCGAGGACCCGGGTGTGTGTCACACTAGATTGAAATTGAATTTGCGAACTGAATTTTTCAAGGTAGGATAAATGCTATTTTGAGTTACTGGAATTCAGATTCAAACGATTAAATTCAGATTCAGTTTTGTAATGCAGATAACTGCAGATTCAAATATACAAAATTCATATTCAGTTTCTAGTGGCACAAATATCGGCCCATAGACGTATTCCTTCTACGCTTCTTGGTCATCGGTCAGGAATTAGGCACATGTGGTCACTCGAGGATCATTCAAGTTTGGCCGTGGCTGCTGTGAGAGGCTTTCTGAAGATGCCCACTTAGGTGGGAGCAACAAGACAACACCCCCACACCCCAGATGAGAGAATTATCCACAAAAAAAAATATTTCAAATTTCAAGGTCAAAAAAAGAGGCCAATTCTCCAATTTTTATGTTTTGTATGAATTCAAAAACCTAACCAGTAAAATAAATAGTTGATTAGTTAATGCTGAATTATTACACAAGCAAAAAATACTATACACAAGAATTGTTACTGAATAAATGAAACCAGTAATTGTCATACAGTGGGAAAAAGTCATTGAGGTCCCCATACATAGAACATGCAAGCACCAAAATAAAAAAAGAAAATTATTTCCTCCCTGTCTGCAGCGGCCACTTAATGTCATCATAATTCTTCCTCTCAAGCATGATGCCTAAGCACACTAGGCAGAGATGAAGACTAACACAGCACCCTGTTTCTCTTCAGTGTGCAAGCTGCGGGTTTTGTCATGCAAGGAATCGTACATAAAGGAGAGCGAGACCAGCTCGAGCGTACTCACAGCCCAGTGGATACCAAGCCAATGGCAGACATCACCAAAGAGCCAAGAAAGGAAGCAGCAGCCATTCGAGCAACCATCTAGCACACCACACTGCCGGGAAATCTCAGGGAGGGAAAAAAGTTATAAATATTCAGGTGGTATAAATATGCCACAAAAAAAAAAAAAAAATTTTGGCTGCAAGCATGTCAAGCTGCACAAACAGAAAATATGGCACAATTAACAACATGACTCATGTGTGCAGTAATTAAGCCGCATTACTTTTTTTTTGCTGATACACAGAGCGGTAAATCAAACATGAGCCTTGTGATTAATTTGTTTTCAACGGCAGTTACTCAATATTTTACCAAATAATAATAAGAACAGCAGCACTGAGGTGATGAAGCACAGTTTTGCTGTAACACAATCACAGAACAGGCCCACACCTTGCTTTGAAGACAGCAGATAATGGCCAGCATTTGAAGGCTGTCTTGCACACACGCTTTTTGCTACTGTTCTGCCTTTGCAGAGATAGCCGGAAATGAGCTTTGAGTGCTGTGAGGGGTAGTTATAGTGTCCGAAATTATAGGACAGGAACTGGCCAAAGCATTCAGGAAACAGCTACACACAGAGTGTGAGACTTGCCAGTTACAGAATACAATAGTGATATCCCTATGAGGAAATTCTCTTTTCACATATCCCACGTCGCTCTCCATGAGACACACATACACAGGCGAGAGCAGGCTTGGGTGTCAAAGCGCTGGTCATACAGGCCGCCTCAAAGAAATAACAGTTTCAAAGCACTCAGTCTGCTTCAGTGTTATTTGAATCATATGGACTCGTTCAAGTCAACAGGTTCGTTTGTTCAGAAGAAAGAAAAACAGCAGACATGTTATGAATCCCGGCATCATGAGTGCCCCCAGACTTAGTGACGGCGGGGTGCATTTTTAGTGTGTCTCAGGGCCATTGAATGAAAGCTAACGATGCTCTGTGGCATTCAGAGGTAGGTGCGGCATCTGGAGGTATGATTCATAGTCATGTGTCACTTTTGTTACCCATTATGAATGGGTGGAGTGAAGAGCTTGAATTAGGGCAGGCAGAGAGGGTAATTAGCTCCAAGAACAAAGAGGCATTGGAGATTACATTATTGCATTTATTTAGCAAACGTTTTTTTTCCCCCCATAGTGATGTACAAGTGAGGATAGCTAGGGGTCAGAACACAGGGTCAGCCAGCGTCCCCGGAGCAAGCGGGATCGAGGACCTTGCTCGAGAGCCCGACGGCGATTTGACTGCTCTGCCAGCAGTAGGATTTGTGCCCATGAACTTCCTGACATGGGCACTGATCCATAACCAGCAGCATACTCACAGGAACCCATGTACTTGTTTCAGGGCAGAGTGTGATGGCATGGTAGTGCTCAGAACAATGGTAGGCTTGGTGTGGTGTGTTGCTTTTTAAAATTTTTTAACTGATTTAGCAGATGTTTTTACCCAAACTGCCTCACATTTGAGAGTGTAGGGTTAGTCCTGGAGCAACTGGGGGGTTCAGAGCCTTGGTCAAGGGCTCAAGAACTCTGCCAACCAACCAGCACAACATCGTAACCCACTGAGCCACACAGCTCCCCCATAAATGGATGACATTGAGGTGAACAGAATTTGCTACTTACATGGTATGGTACGCAGGTAGAGGTTATCGCGGATGATCTGCTGGAGTTTATGGTCCAGAGAGCCCTTCTGGAACTGCAGGCTGAGGTAATGGCGTAGGTCCGTATTGAGCACTTTGCCTGGAGTCAGACAGAAACAAGCACACAGCCATAACTACAAAGTCAATGAAGCTTTGGTTCTTCTCAAACCATCCAAAACATTTTACTATCCTGTTCCCTTGGCAACCACTGATCAAGTTCCAGCACCATGGTGAAACAAATCAGACCAATGGATAAAGATCTGACCGCTGCCACATCTCATGAATGTTTCCTTTATCCCTTTACTTCTTCCAGCCTGGCTGACAAACACGATTGTCCATGACAGCCAGCCTTCTGCTAACAGCAGACCTTCTCCCTCCAGCAGACAGCTGGAAGCACATGGCCTCGTCCCAGACTCTTAAATCTAGTGGGGGTCCCATATTCTCCTTCCATTCCACTCGCGTCACATGCAGTGGTGGCAGGAAGCTCACGGGTGATACAAACTTTCATCTGGAGGCTTTAATAAAAGGTGGCAGCCTCACACCTCAAACTTGGACTTAAAAGGAGCCAAAAGTAGCAGGAGTTTGCACACGGGGGAGGGGATACAGGTGAATGAGAGCATTAAAAACCTACATCGTAGCTCGTAACATGACCCTCCCCCATCTCCAGCTGCTAGCATTGTCCGAGATGACACCCCATTTCCATAGAGGGCGTGCTTTGAAAAAGATGCTACATGCAAGGTTAGCGCCAAAAGCCACTATGAGTGATTGGCCTGACGTCTTTAGGTCCATTTCATCCAAACAGATCAATCCATGTTCGGTGATAAATAATAATAAGGTGGAGCGTCTCCTATCACACAGGCCATCTGAGGTACAGAGGGATCATAACTGGCACCATGAGGACTGACACAGTAAACAATTAGCTACCCACTCTGTTAATATTTATGTATTTTCTTAATCTGCTGCAAATGTTCTATAACAAGGATTGTAAAGGGCAGCGTAACCGAACACTGTAATTTTTGTTTCGAGTTGAGCGTCCGTTTTTAGCAAAAGCCCTTGAGAAATTAGGGTGCTGCTGTAAAAGGGCAAACACCGACGGCAGCTCTCGCCCACCTGGACGGCCGGTAATGTGGTCGGGACAGGACGCGTTTGACAGCTCTGATTTGTCTTCCCGGGAAATTAAACAGGCTGCCCACTGCGACGCGAGATTGGCCTCCCTCCACCGGGACGCCTGAGATGCATACCAATGGCTTCTGCGGCAAACTAGGCGGGAGAGGAGCGCACCCGCTCACCGAGCCGCCGCGTTTACAAAGAGGCTCTCAGCACAAACTACTATCCCCAGTAGAAGCAGCAGTGCCATCTGGCCCTAAGATCGGACAGATTATGTGTCCCAGCTGGGGGATTTTAATTTTTTTTTTTTTTTTTTTTTTTGGAGAAATGACCAGGATGTTTTTCTCCCCCTCCAACAGAAACATGGAACCCAGCTGGCTAAAGCCAGCAGACCGCACGGGGGAGTATGGGCGCCATCTGTTGGCAAGTTCGGTTTCCCAGAATTCCTGCATGCAACTGCTCCAGAGGAAAGACGTGGAAATCCCAGAACTCACAAAGAGCTCGAGTTTCTCAGAAACCCTCCTACAGAACATACAAGGTTTCAATGACGACACGGTTGCAAGACCGATAAATCATTCATGACCAATGAATTATTTCTCTCCATCGGTACACTCTATGTAAATGTACATCTATAGTACATGACATTATGTAATTTGCACACATCATTAGTAAAAGGATAAAGTGAAATTCAGATATTAAGCTTCACGTACAATACACTTGTAAGGGCATAAATCCAACAGTCTTAATTGAGCACAGCAAACAGCAGCCCGGTCTCAGTGCTGAGGAGGATTATCTTAAGCTGTTATCACAGAATCACAGCTCCTCATAAATAGCATCTCAACATTTTCATTTAGGCACACAGTTGACGCCTTTATCCATACTAGTGTTATAAGTTTCACCATGAACGTCGTGCTGCTCAGCGGCACTAATGATCTACTCTGGTGAAGAAAAACTTTTAAGGACATTCACCCTAGCGTTGCGTGTTCTTAGCCATGAGTCCGCCTGCCGACTTTAAATCAAGAAACATTCAGAAGTTTCTGGAAATAAAATACGATTCAGCAGCGCAACCTAAAAGAAAACGGCAAAGACTATCATGGCTTCCACAATGATCTTACTAAGAGCCAGACATAATGGCAACATTCAAGATTCAAAGAAGACAGGAGCTGGAATTCTGCACTTAGCTACTCTTTTGGGTGTACATCTATATTATATTACTATATTAATGAGATGTGTGTCCATGACTAAGAAATTCGTCACCACTGAAATGTTTCAGTCAGCTACACTGCTGGAAAAAGACAAGTGAAATATGAGGTACATCCTTTCATCATACTTCATTCAGCTCCAGCTGGCTGGGGCCAAGAGAGACATATTTCAAAAGATTTTGTAATGTATTTTTGGTGCTCTATCTGCTCCCCAGACCTTCTCTACGCAAAACCTTCTCTGGACTCAACTACTAACCCTTCCATCTATAGTTGTTGTACAATCCTCCTTCACGACCCCCCACACTCTCCCAGAGGAGCAAAAAAGCACTGTTAAAGCGTCCTGTCTGGGTGTTCACGGTCAGAGCCCACTGGACCAAACATGTGTTTGCACTCCTTGTTCTGACTGAAGCTCTCACTAACGAGGGAGTTGGAGGGACGCAGCCAATGACTTCCTGGTATTAAGAAGTGACTGTCCAGCCCCATTCAATGAGGCAGTACGTTCCGCAGTGCAGAGGCATTTACAGTAATTACCATGTGCTTCGACCCTAAACTGAAAGACATGGCAAGCTGATAAGAGACACCATCATCATTGGTGTAGACACCATTACCACATGCTGTCTGCGAGCTGAGATGGCAACACAAGGAATTGTTGAATATATACTACAGGACATTTTACAGATGCATTCCCTCTACACTTTACATGATCTGAACTGTATCGCCCCATACAAAATGCAAGTCCAATTCAGTGTACCCCGTAGTACATGCTGTATTCCAGTTCCTCCTGAGAACTTCTCTGTAGTGAATAGAGACCTTCCAGACTTATGCAACATGACTGACTTATGGTAGAGTCAGTAAGTCCCTGCAGTGCACCTTCAGCTCTCCCCTCCATACACTCCTTACCACACGGTCACATACTGAGAGGCTGACCACTGAGCCCTGCCTGCCACCGGCCTCTGATTCCAGCTACGAGCTGGTCACTGTTACCGGCACCGCTTGTTCACTCGGCAGCCAGAAGGGAAAAATGCAGAACTGTCATTGCGGAGCCAGTAGCAGTGCGGTAATGAGGCGAGTCAATAACAGGCACTTGGTTCTCCTGCAGGATTTCAGGAGTGCTCATTAACAGATTGTAGGGGTGCTTCAATGCCCTCGGGTGGGGCCTGGCTCCCCCCCCCCCCCCCTTTTTTTTTTTTTTTTTTTTTTTTTTTAAGAAAACCCCCCTCACATTGGATTGAATCAAATATATTACATGCCCCCAACACAGGGCACTTATTGGAATAGAATATAATAGATGTACTTTATTTATGCCCATGGGGTAAGTGGGTAGTTTTCACATACCCAATCTCGGTGAGTGGCTCAGTGGGCTGAGTCTCTCTGCCTGTGATCAGAAGGTCACCGGTTCAAGCCCTGGCCTTGGCAGAACAGTCACATGTCCATGGGCCCTTGAGCAAGGTCCTTAACCCACAGCTCCAGGGGCCCTGGATGTTGACTGACCCTGTGCTGTGACCCCCCCAAGCTATGGGGCCTGGTGGGGTAGGCAAAGACAAGCATTCCAGTGTACCTGTACTCATGTTTGTGCAAATATCATTTAATCATTCCTTATCGTTCTCAGTGAGAGACACAGATACACATGTGTGTGTGTGTTTATATGTATATATGTGAGAGCAGGTTTTGCGAGTCAGAACCCTGGCTCAGTGTCCAGCACCCCTAAAGAACCTGGGGTTAAGGGCCCAATGGTGAGATGATTACTCTGATTGGAACCCACAACCTTCCAAAAACAGGTACAGATTTCTAACCCACTGCGCTACACCTGAAATCACCAGAACTGGACACCAGTGAGGAAGAAATCCCCCAGCACCTAAATTTACAGCACATTGTAATCCAAGAAAAGTTCATTATGCTTAGGCTGCCTGCAGGAAGCCTGTCACACCGTACTGAGATGGAAAGGGTCGATAGAGATCACAGATGGCTCGACGCTGGAATGCCAAGAGATGGATCCCACTCTCATTCTGGATCCATTAAGCAATCATAGATTCCATAATCATTGAGGACAGCTCTTTCCTGCAGACTTGGGGCTACCCACAGATCATGGGATGAACAACAGTGGCAATCGGCAGGCAGGATAAATGACTTCCTCGGCACAAAGACCAGATCATGTATCTCTGTTGGTTCCCCTGGGGAACACATGCGTATTGAATCTGGTTTTCATGTGAACCCTTCCTGGTGTATTAAACCAACGAATATGGAGACCAAACACACCAACACAAGCTACTCGGACACCACCATCAGTCCATGCAAAATGGAGCATACCCTCGAAAAAAGAAAAAGCTTCATTGCAGAATCAGATTTAGTATCAATCAAGTTAAATTAGACACTATAAGCAGTTTTTGTGGTTAAATATTCACAGAATTAATTCATTTCAGTACATTGCTCAAGGACAGAAGGACAATACCAGAGGGATTGGAGCCCTTTGTTCTCAAGATCAGTTCCTTAATCATGGTGCAACCTACTGACTTGCATCTTGAGATCATCTCATCACTAAATGGTCAAATCTTAGAAAGAACCCCGAGAGCTCAATTTCAAAGCATCTGCCTCTTCATTTCTTTGTAGTTACTTCCTGTGGGAATCTCTCCCCATCTACACTGACCTCCCCGAGGAACCACTGTACTTAAACCCACATCCGCCAGCCACCTCTGCCCTGCCCTGCACTGGAGGGCTTCTAGTCTGCCAAGTTTCAATGACTGCAGTTAATTACAGGTGTTTTTCAATAGGTAGTTCCGCAACGACGAGTGAA